CCCCCGTAAATCGGATTGCCGTTCTGGAATATCGTTCACAAATATTTGAGGACAAATCGTTCCTGAATTTTCCAGAACAACTGTGGAAAAGGAACACGACATTAAAGCAATCCTTTAGTGTTATATTCCACCATGTAATAAAATTAAGATGGGTGGTACCCGTCGATGAGATATGGTCAACAGTTTAAATAGAATATGTTTCAATATGGTGGATATCAGGATTAATGCTTAAACTCCTGGTTTTACTAAACCCAAGATTATTTTAAAACGCATTCGATATCAAAGGAAGAAGTTGAAAATTTAACCAATCAGAGTGTCATGTTAAAATGTACTTTTTAACTTTTGAAAAACTGGTTTTGATTTCTGGTGTTAATGGTGTCATATCAATTGAACTAAACATCAACTGAACGAACGTATGTTTTGGATTAATGTTTATTAAGACTTTTAAGATCTAGATATTTATTTATGTATCGAGATTATTACAGGTTTACAAAATTTGTTATTATGGAAAAAATTATTGTTTATTAAGACTAATGTTCTAAATGACAAAGTCAGCTGACTTTAATTCAATCGGATATTAGTCCAATCGATATAGCATTGTATCTTTAATAGTTATCAAACGTAACTTTTATACAGTAGAAATATCCAAAAAGAGAATTAGAAAAAGAAAATCAAAATGGTGTACATTGGATACTCAGATTAAGCGATCGTGATTGGGGATAACTCATTCTAAAGTTTTTAGCTCAGTATACATAATTATTTCAATTGCCAATACATAGAAAAACTTTATCAAACATAAAATGTCCCAGTGGACGAAGAATTTGGAGAATTATAGTTTTGTTAGAACTTTTATATATGCCTGGTCTAATCAACTAATCATTGATTTAAAAAAAACAATGAAATAGTTCATACTATTTTTTATAAAAATCAGAACATTTTAGTCAATCTCTTGATTAATCTTTATCTCCATCCATAGATTCCTTTTTTATATCCCCCGATGGCTATACCCTGCAAGGATAACTTTAATTTTGGAATCAGGCATTGTTTCTAAAATTTGAAAACGCCCAAATTTGATATCAAGATCAAGCCTTTAGGAACAATATCCGATTGTAAGTCTCTTGAATCAACAAAAAGATGTTTTTTTTTCAAAAACTTCCTAATTACAAATTACAATGTTACAAAATTGCATTGTCTATTGCAGAAATGAGTGCAGAGTGGTTTCAAATTCAGATTTAGATATTTAAGCTAAACCCAGTAATCTCCACCAAATCTATTTGGAATTTTGACCAAATTTAAACTTTAAAAATTTACTAAATCAAATTTGATATTAAGATAAATTTATTATAAATAAATACTGTTATATCTATTTACATTAAAAACGAGTTATTTTTAATAATTTTATTACTAATAAAACCGTCTTCTGTAGATGGGAGAATATCTTCTAGATGATCGTTTCTTCTCCTTCTTTTCTTTTTTTTCTTCGTCTTCGTCAGCTTTGTTAGTCTTCCCTTTGTAGAATTTCTCTTCCTCTTTGTCTTCTTTATCTTCTTTGTCTTCTTTGTCTTCTTTGTCTTCTTTGTCTTCTTTGCCTTCTTTGTCTTCTTTGTCTTCTTTGTCATCTTTGTCTTCTTTGTCTTCTCTGTCTTCTTTGTCTTCTCTGGCTTCGTTATTTTTCTCTTTTTTCTCTTTTACTTCTTGATCTTCAATTGTGTAGGTTTTACTATCTTCCTCCTCATTATCATCTTCCCTTTCTTCTTCTGCGCTTTCTTTTCCATCTTTTCCTCTTTCTTCTTTGTCATCGTCAACTTCTTTTTCATCATCTTCTTTTTCATCATCTTCTTCTTTTTCTTCATCAACTTCTTTTTCTTCATCATCTTCTTTCTCTTCATCATCTCCTTTCTCTTGATCATCTTCTTTCTTTTCGTCGTTTTCTTTCTCTTCGTCAGCCTCTTTCTCTTCCTCTTCTTTCTCTTCATCATCTTTTTTCTCTTCGTCACCTTCTTTTTCTTCATCATCTTCTGTCATCTCTTCTTCTTCATCTTCTTCTTTTTCTTCTTCTTCTTCGTCAGCCTTTCTTCCTTTTTCCGTTTCTTCATCTTCCAGTATTTTTTTAACCTCAACATTAAAATCAATGTCGTCGGCCTGGTCGAATTGGCACCATTTCTTGTGCAACTGTTCCTGAGCAGGGACCAAAACAGAGACTTTGTCGCATTCTGTTTCTGGGACCACCGCGCATTTCTGATAAGTCACAGATCCGCATTTAGTCGTGGTTTTAGATTTACACTCCTGGATCGGAGTTATGGTGCAATCATACTCTGTAGTTTTTAGAGGGGTTGTAGAGTTGACCAGGTCCACAAACTCTACAGGATAGTCCTCACAGTTCATAGTTGGGACCATAACAGGGACCTCCTTGTCTACTGGACTACATTCCTCCCAAGTGACATCCTTGCAGTCTCCGTCGTTCCCTGCCCATACCTTGTCATCGTTCTCATCCAGCTTCCAAAGGGTCGTGCAGTGAGTCTTAGTCACGTTCTCGCACTCGTAGACCGTCATGGTGTGGAGCTCCCTCACCTCCTCCTTGCTGCAGTTGTGGAGGGTGACGTTGGCAAGCTCAGGACTGGTTCTCAGTTCCTCCAGATCCACAGCGGTAAACTTGCAGTCAGGGACCAGGCTCACCTCACACGACTGTTCACACACCTGCAACACAAGTATGTTACGTAAGTATAATTTTACACTACAGTGCTAGTTTGTGAACCCAGCTTTGCCTGGAACCTAAGTTATAAATAAAAGTTAACCCACTCAACCTAATTTTTTAAACAAAGCTATGCACATATGTCATGATTCTAGCCAGTTCCACAATAAAAATTTAAGGCAAATCGGTGAAGGGGTTCCTTCGAGTTATGACATACAGATAAACAACAGAGATTACTACTGTATGTACTATGTATGTACAGTAAGCCCCACAACCCTTTAGAAAAGTGAAACAATATCTTAGCAATATTTTTCAAGCTTTCATAGAGAAAAATTGCGCATCAGTTGCTTGACAACCAATTTACCAAGAAGGTAAACTTCATTGCATGGGATACATGATTATAGATTTATAACTTGATTCTAACGGTCGTCTTCCCTTTCCTTTTTATTGGTACCACTGAAGTAAACAATAAAATGTTAATTCAAGGATGTATCAATCCTCTAAAACTGGAAATTTTAGGATTATTTTCCCAAATTCTATAAATAACGTTTTTTTTTACACAATGGATCAAAAATGAATAAACTATCTACCTCATTTAACAAGAAAAATTCTATATTTGAAAAGATGTAATCCATAATAATGAGGAATTAGACAAAACATTATAAATTCTCAAATTAAGGCTGAAATTCCTGAAAACTAACGGATTTGGCTTAAATTAAATATATTTCTTGGAAATGAAACAATACAATATGTTGGAAATATAAAAAACCATTTTAACAAAATTTGTATCTTTCATTAAAGTTTTAAAAGATATGTATTTAAAATCTCCTTTTAATTAAGAAATTAGGTTTGACTCAAAAATTATAGAAAAGAAAACAATACTATATAAATAAACTAATGGCAAAGTAATCTTCAACGCCGACCGCTTTGAAAATGTTTATCTTATTTCAAAAATGGTTTTAAAAAGAAATGGTAAAAATTACCTCCAAACAGTCCTTAGCCGTGACGTCCTCACAGACTGTTTTGAGGACAGTTCTACAGTTTAACCTGTCCTCAGACCGTTCCTCCCTAGGACCATAGTCCAGGAGGTCTTTACAATAGTTTTCATGCTCGCCACCCTCCACTCCTAAATATCATTTTATAAGGGACTGTTCACAGAATACTGAAGCAAGTTAGATATTGTAATCTTAAATGTTTTTAATCATAAAAAGCTCACTGTTATCTTGACAAGCTACATTGTTGCATAAAACATGCTGGGTCGACTGTACATTGGGTATTTCAGACTGGACAGTACGACTAAATGAATATACAATACGCATTGTACCGGCACGGATCATTTAACTTTTAGACTGGGGTGAGCTACTACAGTGAATCCCAGATATATGAATACATGGACTGTCATAAGGTTTTTGATAATTCTAAAGAATCTTCTTTTTACTTATAATTCAAGGTAAATTAATAGCCCTGAAATATGAATGCAATTGATATATTAATATTAAATATATTTTCCGCGGCATTTGATCTTAAATATGGAATACGACATTATAAAAAACTCTTGCTATGTATTCATATATCTGGGATTCACTGCATATAAAAGAAAAAAAAATTGTTGAATTCCTAAAATGTAACTGGATAATTTTGTCTTTCTTATACTTTTGTGCGTAAAATCAAGATTAGGAGTTATGAGGTCACAATGTCGTAAAAGTAATGTCGCTTAAATTGGAAGAACAGAAAATGGACAAGTGTTCCAATAAACTTTGGACGACTTTTAAACCGTCGCAAAGGATTTGAATCTTTGCCACAAACTCAAAATTTCTAAGCCCTATTATCTTTGCAACCCAATGTGCAAACCTTTGATAGCTCGAACTATGAATTTTGTTAGATCAAATAATCTAGGTTTAAAATATCAAAGGTTTACACTATCATAATGAGAAGATATAGGGATTAGAAAAATTGAGTTTGAGACAAATCAATGTTAAATCAGAAATATGATTTAAACAATGAATATCATGCTTTCCAACTTTCGGGATTTGTACAATATGATGTGGATCTCTTTTGAACTATACATTTAAACATCAAAGATAATTCAATATATTCAGATCTTTTTTTACACATTTTTTAATTTTAAGCAAAACGAATAAATCTTATAACATTTTCTCATATATGGCACACAATAATACTGTCTTACAAAACTAAAACTCTAAATATCTAAGAGAAGTTTAGAGTAAGTAATGACCTCGCAAATTCTTATGTAACCAATAAAATTTTTTTTGATAAAAGTATAAAAGTACTTTACCTAAGTAGAAGAGAGAGATGGTGAGTAGTATATAGAATCTCATATTGCTCTATGTAGAAGATTTATCAGTTCTTGCTACTCAGGTATTGTAGTTCTATCAACTCCAGGTATTCAGCTATATTGTCATATTGAAGATTAAATTCAAATCTGGTTTTTATATTCTCCACGGAGAGACTGACCGCTTATTTTATGATTATTTAAATCGTAGTTTCAATATTGACAACGTATTTCAAGGTGTTATTACGAAATTATAAGGAACCCTCCCCCGACCTTGATGTATAGTTTTCCTGCATGTATAGTTATGTCCTTAATCTTGATTGATCTGAAAGCTTTATTGTAATTATCCAGCAAAAAGAAACTGTTTATATATTAATGGAGATGGGGGAGTGTTTCTTTTTTATAAATATGTGTTTTGATTCTTTATTTAAACGCGAAATGAAAATTTATATTGTGAGTCGAAATTTGGGGTTTTCATTGTACATATTAATTAATGTTCAAACCTATTGTACATATTGTAATGTATAGGTAATTATGTCGATAATAATGGAACGTAACGTTAAATGTACGTTTTTGTATCTTATGCTACAGTAAAAGGAAACGTTTGGATATATTCTATATAACGTGAATGCTCAACGCTAATATCATAGGTGCTTATACCTAATGTTAACCTTAAACGTTAACTCTAGAGGAACATACCTAATATTTGGTAACGTAACAATATTTTTCTAATATTTGAAACGTTTTTGATCAAAACATAAAGAAAAGTTTTGTTTTAATGGGGTGCTTTAAAATCTATTGTTTGAAAAATGAATTGTGATTTGAATGCATCTCGTAATGAAAGGATGTCTATTTCAAAGTTCTAGTAGCGTAATATTGTAGAACTAAAAAATACATTTCTGTTTATGAACACGTTTTGAAACGTTTTCCCTAATATTTGTATGAAAAGTTCAACGTTTTAGAAATAGTAGTGAATCCTGCCGTGATGTTCCAGGACAGATTTCAAGAGAGGTCTGTCATCATGTTCCAAAAGAGATCTATAACAGTGTACAGTAACGTACTCAAGTTACAAAAGAAACCAAGAATGGAATTAATGAAGATGTGGAGTTGCTAAGAATGTAGAAAATAAGGGAGAACAAACACTATTTTTCAACATTTGTACATTATGAAATGTCCAGACATATTGTACAAATTGTATTGTTCAGACCTATATATTTTGTACATAATGTCATTGCCATAAATATAAATTTTACATAACGTATTATCCAGAAACTATAATTGTAAATATTGCAATGCCCAGACCTATATTGTACATATTGTAATCACCAGACCTATGTTTATTGTACATATTGTAATGCCCAGACCTATATATGTATATTGTACATATTGTAATGTCCATTGTAGAAATTGTAATGTCCAGACCTATATATATTATTGTAGATATTGTAATGTTCAAACCTATATATATTGTACATATTGTAATGTAATGTATAATTACAATTATTGGGGACAACTTGGCGCAACTATTTTCTTCCGATAATAGATATTTTCTATTGTATTTACTTTTCCTGCATATCTTTCTTTGTTCTGTCTTCCCTTTACTTTCCTGCATATCTTTTATTATCCTGTCTTCCCTTTACTTTTCCTGCATATCTTTCATTATCCTGTCTTCCCTTTACTTTTCCTGCATATCTTTCATTATCCTGTCTTCCCTTTACTTTTCCTGCATATCTTTCATTATCCTGTCTTCCCTTTACTTTTCCTGCATATCTTTCATTATCCTATCTTCCCTTTACTTTTCCTGCATATCTTTCATTATCCTGTCTTCCCTTTACTTTTCCTGCATATCTTTCATTATCCTGTCTTCCATTTACTTTCCTGCATATCTTTCAAAACTGACTGTTATGGAAATTAGATAATGCTTTAAAGTTTAGTTTTTTAAATATGAAATAAAAGCAGTTATCAAATTTAAGTTTAAATTAATATTTTTATTCAGAATTTTATGACCCCCCGCCCTCCCCTTTCAGTTGGTGTGCCCCCACCACAACACCGTGTGACGGCCCCTCTCCCGTTTTCTCTCAACTCATAAAAAAGGATTTCTTTGACAAAATAAATGTTCACAATTTCAGTTCAATTTCTAAAATCTGTTTGGAATTCGAAATGTAGCGCAATTTATTCTGAAGCACATGAGCTTAAGATTATATTTGAACACTTTTGTAAATCATTGTTTTACATTTGTTAAAAATGATATTTTACAAGAATGTTAATCTCATATGTTAATTATACTAGGCTTCGCGGCCATCTTCCTTTTTAATATTAAATTGCGACTCTATCGGTAAAATATAGTATAGTAAAATATAAAACAATGAAAAAAAGTTCGTTGACTTTGTCAGAAGTTTTGTTGGTTTTTGTAATTTTAGAAAAATTTAAATTTTTGGAGACACATTTTTGAAATTCAGAGCATTAAAGTAATCATTAAACCTCTTTCCTGGGTTATGTAAGTTTTTGGCCCGATCGGTCTAGCGTTTTTACGTTTATTAGAAACAAACAAACATTAAAGTATATATATATAGATAGTTTTATTAGAATTTGAACAAATTTTTTTAGACTATATGTTAATTTTGTGCAAATAAAAATGTGTTATCTCTAATAATTTCTCCATTGCTTTCGTATCAGCAAGAAAGCACAATTGTCACTTTCGCTGGAAAAACCTTGAATGAAAATTAACATTTAAAGAAACTAAAGCATTGCTATCCAATTCATACTTGATCAGAAACAAAGCTTTTAAGGGTATCGTTGTAAATCGAACACGGTTATTACAGATTATGCTTACAAGTTAGAGTTCCTTTAATCATGTTTTTTATCGCTTTTTCTTCCTGATTTTCAGAAAATCTGCCAAATCATCAATAAAAAAAATAAAAAAATTTATTTCTTTATTTCCTAACAGTTTATCAAAGATAAATTCTTGTACATGAGCTTAGTCGTTGAAGTTAGAATATGTTTGATTTATTTATATTTGTTGATTCTTTTCCTTTAGATTTTCCTCAATATGCATTCAAAATATTGAGGGTTTGTAAAAATATATTTTGAGAAACTTGATAAAAATGTAAATCGATGAATATTTTATGCAAACTATTCAAATAGAGTTTTAAAAAAAATATTGATTTGCTCATGAAATTATTCGTCATAAACCTTTGATCTTTATGATCCTCAAATAATGTCTAAAATTTTCTTAATCTAGAACAATTTTGAAAAAAATGTCTAGCCAACGATATTACATATTGTTTACATTTTAAAAATTGTATTGATAATAAAGGTCTTATATAGGTTGCAACTAGCAATTACTCATTTAGAACTAAAACTGGAAAGGTGCTTTAAAGAGAGTGTTCGCGAAAAATGAAAGGGGGTATTACGGCGAAAAATAAGCGCTTTTGATTGCTACTAATCTTACTTCTATCTGTTGCGTCTATAAGGAGAATATTATTAAAATGGTGAAGAACATATACAAATTCAGAAAGATGCAACATTCAACTCATCCGTAAACAAATAAATTTAATTCCAAACAAATCATTCGGATATTACAAACAATAGTCATCGATTATTTTTCGACGCATTCGTATATAATTAATGTTTAAAGATATTTTTTATTTGATCTGAGAGTTACTTTTGAAAACATTTATTCCTGTTTCGAGTATTTTTTAAAATGAAGACAACATTTTCATAATGCCAGGAATGTTCGAAAATCTAAGGCCAGTGAATATTACAAAATTTTTTTTTTAAATATTATGAAATATTAACGCTTGCCGCAAAACAGATTTTGGTGGCGGTGATTACTATTTGAGGAACTCTGGACTCCCTCCCTCGTAGAGCACATACAGACTAAATAAGGCAAAACGTGAATATATACAAAATCATCCCTAATTTAATTCAAGATTGATTCAATCTTAATTTTGTTAAAACAACAGCGTTTATGACTCATCCAATCCAGTGGGTTTTGGAGAAATCAGAACAGCAAATCAGGGAAGCCGGGAAATTTGAATAATTTGAAAAATTTGAACTCTTATTTGTAGGAAACTGACAGGGAGAGAAAAATATCTAACAAGAGCAGATTAAAGAGGAACTGTAAATAGTTCTTTTTGGCTAAACAGGTTTTCACTCTTCTCATGCAGATAGAACAACTTGGAGTTGGAAATCAATTTCCTAACTACAAAAAATTAATATAAATATGATAATAATAATATGAACTTACTAAAAAACAAATTTTATCACGTTTGAAGATTATAGTTCTTTTGAATGTTAGTCTTGATAAACGTTAATCTAAAACTTAACTTTGTTCAATCTATCATTAGTCCAACTGATATGACATTATAAATGCGGGAAAAATTTAAACCGATTTTTCAAAAGTTAAAAAACGGATTTCTAATCGAAGTCTAAAACTAAAGAACGAAAAGTTTTGACTTAAATTTTAAGTTCATGGTTAAATGCCACTTCTGACTTAATTTAAACCTGAACTTTAACCGTGTGGTTAAATGTATTTAACTCGCCGAAATCGACGAGTTAAAATTTAAACACAGGGTTAAAATCTTGAAATCCCGCAATCCCTATTTGTCTATCATCATTCAGCGGTAAGCGGCATTCAACTAATTACGATATATTTAAAAGTAAAAACCTTGATTTAAAAAATTTCACGCTTTAGATTAATTAATGTTTGCACGTAAACCCAAAATACGGTTGTAACTGGGTCTGGAAATATGTTTTGTTTTCCGTCACGTAAATAATTTAAAATTTAAAAAACAGCTCATTACCGATCTACTTGCGTAATAATTCTCCTTAAATCCTTTTCTCTGATTAGTTCAGATTTTTCCCGGGAAATTCAAATTTAAAATTGAAAAAGTTTAGTATTTAAGTAGCTATTCATTATTTTACAGAACTTTTAACCTCGAACTTAAAATTCGCGCATTCTTTAGTTTTAGACTCGGAAGAAATTATTCTAAAAATTAAATTATAGTCTGGAGATTACAAAAAAGAGAGAATCAAGCATTGCTCTCGATATCCAACTTTCTAAAGTTTTTAGCTCCGGTTTCCTTTGAAAGTTTGGTTTTCACCAGCAGGCTCTGCAGAGAGGAGTTTCGGGGTTGTCTGTGGCAACCATGGGAGGGT